GTCGTCGGTACGCTCGTAATGTTACAACTCATCCTTCGGCACGTCGGTACGTGGAACGAGTACTTGTGTAATTCCTCGGACAATGTTTTCCCTCAACGTATTGCCGAAATGTTCGCCAGTCTTTCAGATGACAAAGGTTCCTTCGGTCCTTCAGAAGAACCCTAGCGAGTAGCATTACTAGATAAGCCCGACAATCCCGTACAGATGGGACCTCATACGGCCTGCCGAGGTGTCAGAATTCACATCATTTACCGGCGAATCATCGGCATTATGGCCCGGAAGATCGTATAGCCACCGGGAAGTAATAGGAGCAGGGAAGTGAATCAAGATGTCAGAATCTCCTACTACTGACTACTACTAGGTGTCGAAGGGACGAATCAAGAAGAACATGGGCACTAGTGGATGGCCTGTGGGGACATCAGAGAGAAACCCTGAAAATTCAGACTGATTCAGACATTGCCTGGTATCCAAACCAGGTGAGTGTTATACTTAGGATTATAGCTGCGAGTCTCTCTCGTCCTCTCCACATGTTGCATGGCCCTTGAGCCGAGGAGCTGGCCTGTGTAGGTCCTGGAAAGTAGGTCCTTGAAATAGTCTGGCACCCAGGCTAGGCTACTGTCGATTGCGTCATGCAGTAAGAAAAGAAACAACCTACTCGACGGTGGAACCAGTAAGTCACAAGAAAAAGACGATGAAAAGAAGACAATGTGCATAATGTATATAAATAATTTAATCTTTAATATTAATACAAAGCAATGCCTCCCTTGCAAATCTGTTGTTATATTTGATGGAACTACCCCAAGATTCATAAATAGATAAAGAAATACATGCCAGAAGGCTAATTGCAACTAACAAGATAATAACAGACAGTAAACATAGAATAAGGTGCATAGTCTAATCTACGTTACAAGCAGGTTTGTTGTTAGTATCCTAAATCGCTCTAAAATGGATGAAAGAAAACGTCAAATCCATCATAAAGTTCGACTTGTGAGGTACACTTACCAAAATGCCAGGCCCGACGTATTGGCACCGCAAGATGATGAATCACGTTTTCTTAGCGGAGGAACTATGCCTGGCACGCGGGAGTCCTGGCCTAAATATACGGTAATGTCCTGCGAGTCTCCCCGCGCCTTGTTTTAATCCGTGCCCAGTCGCCGGTGAGCCGCATGCTATCTTTACCCGGAGCCTCATCGCCCGCCCATCAGCACCCGTAAGCACCTCGCGGACAGCTGAAGAAATGACTCCCATCACTCAAACCATTACACACAGCCTGATCAACTCTCCAGATGGCAGACTCAAACTTGGCTTGCTTTGCCAAAAAAAAAACAGTTACTCAAGCAACTGGATATGATTCTGGAAAGTCTGATCGTTTCTAAAATCATATCCAGTTGCTTGAGTAACTGTTTTATGCGTATGTTATTACCTGGATGTCTAACCTTCACCGACGTTGGCTTGCTTTGGTTTTGTAACCCTGGGAATAAAGTTGCAATCGGTCCAAAAACAACGATTCAAGAAAAACACTTGATTCTGTTTTTGTTTAGCTTCTTTAGACAAAGTTAAACAATCATAACACTCCTCCTAGACTATAGGAAACATCAACGTGTAGTATTTGTGTATTTATTGCATTGGATCTAAGTTAGGGGGTGGGCAGCTGAAATTGATACAAATTAAAGGATAGTCCGATGTTGCTGTCAGCTACTTGTCAGCATTCTCCTTTTTGCATTATCTTCACATGCATCCAATACTTTACTCAGAAGTAGAAAATGAACAAAAGAAAGCAGGAAGAATGGCATCAGTGACAAATCAGTGGAAAATCGGCAAACCAGTCAGCCATTTTCATAGTCCATCCAGAACATGCATGGCACAGTCATTCGGCATAGTTTTAGCACTAATTAGAGCCATTAACGCCATTTTGACAGCAACTGTAGTAGCCTCATTTTCCACCTGTTCATATCATACACACAGGGACATTATATAGGATAATGTCCTTGATACACACGAACAATTCCAATAAACTAGTGCCAATTAAAAGATTATGATGTCAGATTTCGAATTTAGACCATGTCAGTACATAATTAACACCGAAGCCTTTGCTGCTGAAGACTGTACGTCGCCACCGAGAGATTTTGTCTCCGGAATGTCTATTGGACGAATCGCTGATGAAAACGAAGAAATGACATTCCGCAACGTCTCATCACGCATGAATATTGAGCGTGGCATTCGTCGGCAGCTTATTACGAGTGAATATCAATGACGTGTGACATTCGCACGCCGAGTTGGGTTACCCATCTCATCTCCATCATGTTTGACAATGTTTGATGGTCCGTGGTGACTGGGAGACAGACAACCGGGACACGCCACACGGCGAGGGGGAAACAACTTCTCATCATATGATTTTACACTCGGAATTGTCTCTTTCTTGTCCTTGAAATTAATTTATTCAGACTTAACACCTTTGTGGAAGGATTGGCATAGTCTAACAGGGGACTGTCGCAATTTTTCAACATGTCAACTCGGAGAAAATACGGCAAGGTTTGAGCCACTCACACCGGGATGGGTCCGGTAGATGGGCCCCTCCTCCTTTCAGTGGGTTCTCCAGCTTTTAATAAATACCCCCCACTCGAAGATCCTTGAATGAATATCCCTAACAATAACCAAGGACGTTATATAAAGCTTGAAGTAACCGAGGCTAGGACTAGGTACTCATTTTCGTACTTTGTCCACCTTTTCCTGCCAGGGATTCAAACCCGGAACCTTATGATTCTAACTTCTCTTTCCACAAGACCACCACAATAGAGTCGAATTAGAGTTCGGAAACCAGCCGTCAGGTCTCTGTTCAACAGCAAATTAAAACAATCGGCGAAGTTTGACTATGTTGACTATGTTATCATGATATCGCCAAATACTAGTACTTGGCTTTATCATGGGGAAATAAAACCACTAAAATCACCCGATCGTAATTTTTAACTGTACTGTATAAACAGGAAAACAAAACATGTAAAAGTCTGTTTATCTTTGTTTCCGATATTTTCTCATTTGTATTTTTGTCAGTGCAACATCGTTAAAGAGGTCACGCTCCTCTACGCACCGTTTAACTTTTAGATTTGCAGTGAACTTTTGGGTCACGTTTCATGTGAACTCCATTAGCACAGAGAGTGTTCCCTCGGATGTCACTGTGTTCTAATTGACTCATCTCCTATAATGGGTACTACAAGATAGAAGGATCCTAAGGTTGGAAATGAACTAGATGAAACAGACGGTCCACAGGCTGAAGTAAGGTAAAATGCAGTAACGCCGCAATGAAGTTGACGGGAGATGATACAGAACGATGAGAAAGCATGAATTGATGACGTCAACAAAACAGCCCAGCTTTTCAATCACCTTCCCGTGATCCTCCCTGGTCCCTGAACTGATGCATAATTTCTATTATATAAACAACGTTAAACTTAAAACGTGGACATTGAAAACAAGCAAGAGAATTGATTGTCTTCCAACAGCTGTGTTTTGTTGTTTATGCAATAACCAGTAGCTCAATAGCTGCATAAAATAATTACTGTAGTATATGAGTTTCAAAACTTACACTGAATGTTCACATATCTGTGCAAAGTTGAGAAGTATTTCTGAAAGAAATTCGAGTTGCATGGATTTTTTGCAATCAAAAAGGTGCTTTGTTCATTTCATAAATGTACAGAGAGGCGCAAAAATAACAAACTTAAAGCTCTGTTACATAACGGTTACACACCAAAAAATACATCTAGAAATCCATTTCATTCGTGTTAGTAGAAGTCAAATACATCGTCTGACATAGACCATGCAGAGAAGTACTACAACCTACATTCGACAAAATGGGCCTAGCACTTGCCATCTTGCCAGATCATTAGTTAATGAAAGAGTGCTGAAAAAAACACCAACTCATCGGCCACTCCACCGGACCAATAACGCGGGTTAAAGAAAAGTAAAATGTAGCCAATAGGGGAGTTTAGCCATCGTAGAGTTCATTTGCCCGCGCAGAGGGGGAAATTAACCTTTACCGAATTCTAGGAGGCTAAGCCACTACGACAGAGCCCAGTTGTGTCCAGTAATAAAGATGTTGTCCATTATACCGGACGCCATTACAGGCATCAAAAACTTGCCATGCCCTTTAATAGAAATCTAATTACGCTAACCACCGCTGTACCCATGCCATATCGTCCCTGGTTTGTACTATCACAACAATCGGTGACTTCGTCCAAATTTTATCATTGCACACAGAACGGACAGTTTTTTCCCGTTTCCTCGACCGCGCCACATCAGTAGCCTGGGTACCATCCAGATTTTCGAGCGTTGCGGAGCGAAAATCCGGATGGTAGCCTGGGATGGTAACCACATCAGGCCATAGTATCAGGCACATCCAAACCGCGATAACCGTCAGATAAGACCCGGATCGCTTAGCTGTTTTATTAAAAGGGGGATTAAGTCGAAGAATCCAATTAATTAATTGTGTGCGCTATCTAGCGGTCTATCAGGCCGAGGTGATCTAGATTTCCGTCCAGAAGGACCGATCGGTTGGAAGCTTATTCCTCTCTTTCTCCTCTCCCCGTCTCTCTTTCTATCTAACATCCCTCTCTCACGTCTCTCTAGGAAACCCCCACAAGAAATCAGATTATCTACTTCGACGCCAAGTTTCGAAAAACGAAACAATGAATTGTCATCGACAAATGTGTAAAAAACACAAACCGTTTGATATTGTTATTACATGTATATGCGGTGCAGTTTCCACATTAAAATCATATTTTGATAACTAGCTAACACGTAGATACCCAGGACCGGGCTGCAGTGCCGGATTTGAATATATCGGACCCGAAGTCTGGTTGGTAGTCAGTGCGAGAGTTCCTCCGTGGTTTCCTTGGTAACCCCGCGTGCGGAATTCAAGAAGCCAATTACAAGGGGCTCTCGCCGGTCCCTCTTACAAAAGGGAGAATTTGATGTGCTAATCGCTAATCTCAACTTCCCCGCTTAACCTGGCAAACCAATCAATTAATGTGTCCGCCAATTAGAGCGGGGAAGCCCCGCCGATGTCCAATTGACACCGTGCGTTCCAAATGCTGTCCGTATGTACACGTAGGCTGACCGGGCCGTATTAGAAATGCACACAGGCGGCTGAAGCTCCCAGCTGTGCGCCCACAGCAGTACAAACAGTCGGAGAAAAAACACCCCGAGGTCCGGACGTGAGCAGAGCACAGCTCCCTCCTCACAACAAAACAACCAGCATGCAACAGGGCAGCAACTTCTCCATAGCCTCTCTCATCGAGAACGGCAAGCGGGACGCCAAATCACCTTCTGCGGGAGACCGCGACACGGACGCCGAGGACGACGTCTGCGACGATTCGGTACCCAAGGACTCGAACCTCGACGATGTCAACGAGTCAACTTCACAAAAGGACCCATCTAGCCCCCTGGTAGGTTCCGATTCAGGCAAGACTGACGCTGATTATCAGAATGCGGCCCCAAAACCGACAATATCCGCACAGAATTGTATAAATCCGAGGAAGACGAGCAATAGTGGGAGCGGAACGAACGATTCACAGAGTGGGGCTGCATCGGGAGAGGGTACCAAGAAACCCGCGATCTGGCACCCGTGGATTGACACGCCGGAGAGAGAGGACGATGAGGAGGAAGAAGAGGAAGAAGAGTCAGGGGAGGTCGTCATTGACGAGAAGGATGGAGATAGTAAAGTAGAAATCGGTGAGTTCTCTGACCATATGTTTATAAGGTACCCTATCAATATTATGAATCTATCTATAATTCTGTGGAAGCTTACCAAAACCTGTATCCGACAATATGAAATTTTCGTCCTTAATTCTCTCAAAATTAATTCAAACAAGAGATCCAACTGAATTTCAAAGGATTCTTTTCGTATGCGGTCTTTCGTTACTCCATCTGGCCACATCCCGTTAATCGGGAAATAATAGCAGACAGGACAAAACAGTACAGCCGCTCAATTTCACGTGTTCTCACAGGACCACCTATTGTTCTCCATATCAAACCGTGCCTGGTAAAAACTGTAATGTTGTTGAGAAGATATGGCGTTTGTGTTTGTGGTTCTTGTAGTAAGATCTGCTCGGTAGAACCACATGTTTGAGGAGGTGAGATATGGTGACAAACAGTTTTGGATCGGCGCTGCGACCCGCCAGGGAGTCTAATTGAACACAGTAGTGTCAGCCTCTCAGCATATGTGCGCAGAAAAACGCTCCTATTTCTTTCAAACAGGAACGGTAAACAAAAACATTGGCAGAATGTTATATCTAAAATTCAAGTTCATTTACTTTATGTCTGTATCTTAAGAGTAATACAGATATGTTAAAAAAAGTGATGTTTGACTGAAAATAAACTGAGTATTCTGAAATGTAGGGATTTCGTTGGAATAACACGAGCCTTTGTGTACGAGGGGACACAAAATTATGGATACTTATAACAGAGTGCTGTTTGAATTATTAACGATTCTACGGAAACAAGGACAAACAATAGTTGGTTGTGAACAAAGACAAGTATAATAGACCCAGTCAACAAAAGGCGGCACGTGGCAGGGAGATTGCGAAATCATGGATTTGCGCATAAGCGGATGAACTATGATTGAATAACCAGAAGGTCCTATTTCTATAGAAAAAACTAAAAAGGGCAAAAACAACATTCAAAATTTTACGTTAGGAGTGCTTCGCTTCGCCGGTTACTGGGAAGTTAGCGTGGCAATGATCAGGCAATCATACAAATATTTATCTGGATACATATGACTTGCAATGATGTAGCTCTGGAAAATGTTACGTGTTGAGGGTAGTTGTTTAGAAACTCTGCTTTGTTCCGGACACATAACGTCCATATGGAACAGCAAAGCCGTAGCATTGTGAACGCTCGGAATTGGACCTCTCTAATGCTCACAAAAACACACCAAAACATACAAAATGTTGGGTTTCTGAATCTCCTAAAATCCCGGAGCATACATACAGCATATATACATGTACCCGCAGTTTTACTTAGCTCTTTTGGGGAGATCGTTCTTTGAAATGAAATAACATGCCTTCAAACTGTGCCTTTTGCACAGATCGTGTGTTTTCTCCCTAGTATTTCTGAGCTAAACAGAGTGAATGATTTTCGGAGAATGGTCCGGCAGACTTGAGCAAATAAGGCCATGGATTGTATGAGGTACCCCGTGCCGTGTAGTATATATAGGCCGCTCGCATCGGCCCTTACCGCGCCGCCGCCCCGCGAACTAAACATGTGGCGGCGCCGGCGGGCTATTGTGACAAACCATACGGCCAGGAGGTACCCCAAAGTAACGCTCTATTTCCGCAGAAATTATGTCATGAAAAAGGAGACGAGAGGAACTTTATACTGGTTTTGAGTTTGCACATATTGCATCGCGGCATGAGGTGAGCCAGCATAGGCGGGGTACCTATTGCACCATGTAGTGATGTTTCTAGATCGAACAGTGTTATCAAGAAGAAAACCAACGTTAAGCATATGAATGTTCTATCGTAGTTTATAAATTTCGCGGTAAAATAACTTAATAAAGTATCATGTTTTGATGCAGGTATATTCTAATTTGCGCTGTACAGTGAGAGTTTAGCTACAATAACAAGATAGCTGTCTTCACACATTTTGCATCTAAGTGTATGTAGTGCAGCGTATAAGGTATTTTACCGTCCATTGACGGTTGACCGAATTCTATGATGTGCAAGATATTCTCTTGTTCTTTTCACAATCATACTTCACGAAAAAGTAGCTGCAATTCGACAGTAGGCATTTGGCGGTAGCACTACAACCTAGTCAATCCTATTTGTTTGATTCGATCAGTAGACTGTCATCTCTTTATCGACAATAACACGGGGTACTGCTGTGATGCTTGCCGCCGAATTTAGCATGATGAAGGGCCCTTATGAAATTGTAATTTGATAATGATGCGATTTGTTCACACTGTAGTAAGTCTGGCATCTATCAAAGGATACTTACGTGATAATAATTGAATGAGTGTAGCGAATATTCAGACGAACGCGGGCCAAGTGCTGCACTGTATTCGTGTGTTGTTCTCAAAATGCATGCCTTGGTGGATAGTACGCATTTGTGTAACGCCCGTCTATTTGTGTATATGAGAATTTGCAATTTGAACACATAATACAGCCAATACAAAGAATTGCTCCCTTCCTCCATCCATCTATTTCAGGTATTCACTGTGCAGTTTAGTGGTGTGTATATACGTGTACTCATACCAGGTCGCGTTCTGTGCTATTTGCCGAGGGCTAGATTCCGGACACGAATAATTCAGTACTCAATTTAATGATAGCATTCCTAAACGAAAATTTTAATTTTAGACATGAACATGGCACAGTAGGTGAGATGGTTTCGCAGCACAGACAAAAGCCGTCCTTAACATTCAGATAAAATAATAGTATCTCACATTGCGTTGGCTTATACCAAAGCTTTTGTTCGACGATAGGGAACATCAATATACCAGCATGTCTCTTCCTGTATGTTTGTTTACTATGAAATAGATATTATAGATATTTTGGATATTGACATTTTTGGATATTACTTATTGTATTTAATATGTGATATGCGATAGCAATTCTGAAGCATTTTTTAAATATCGATAAATTTATATCAATACGAATTGCAACACAACAGAAATGACCACATTCCTAATGCATTTGTATGTATCATATATTCTTACCAATGATATAGTGAAAATCGTTATTTTGAATTTCAATAGATAATTTGCTGCACGCCTTCTATGTTTTATCTTATCCTCGAATGATTCAACGAACACGCACGTTTTCTTACTCGCTTAGACCAAGAGGTTTCAGCCATTTGGCCAAAACTAATATAAAACGAATATTACTTTATGATTGTATGTCCCAAATATTGTGATGTGTACAATTCACTATGTACAATTCTATCATCTTCTACACCAGGATTTTTCTCAATGGATTCAAAAAGTAATTTTTTAATAGTTTTGTAATAGTAATGTTTAAAAAAAACATCGCACAATGTTTTAAAAAACCTTAACACTGGAAAACCACTAGTAAATGTAAAAGGGCGTTCGCAGGAGATGCCGTACGTATACGTTGTACCTCGTACTATTGTCGTTTACCACAACTGCTTGAACAGATTCTGGACTAAACAAGCCCTCTCTTTACAGGTGAGCCGACAGGCGATGAAGAAAAGCCTGAAGACACGGCTGAAGACGGCGAGCAGAAGAGCAAGGAAGGAGGCGAAGTCGATCCCGAGAAGTGTTCTGCCAATAACTCGGTCGGTAAAAACGGCAAGCGGAAGCGGGGAGCGGGGGATCCCGGGCGGTCGGGCAAGCCGCGGCGGGCGCGCACAGCCTTCACGTACGAACAGCTGGTGGCGCTGGAGAACAAGTTCAAACAAACCCGCTACCTGTCCGTGTGCGAGAGGCTGAACCTGGCGCTGTCTCTCAGCCTGACCGAGACTCAGGTCAAGATCTGGTTCCAGAACAGGAGAACCAAGTGGAAGAAACAGAACCCCGGGATGGACGTGAACAGCCCCACCCTCACCTGCTCCTCCCCCACCCTCCCCCTCAGTCTCCCCGCGGGGTACCCACACCACAACCCGTTCTACGCCTCCCACCTTCACTACCCCATCACCACAGGAGCCGCTACCTTACCGTACATGCTCAACTCACACGCGCTGAACGGACATCACTTATATCACCATATCGGACATGTATGAACATCAACCGCTACACGGGGTCATTTTAAACAGGCAGGAATATCTACGGACAGTAATCTCTACACACAGCAGGGACAGAACAACGCTTCACTTGTAGATATGGCCGTACCGATTGTTCAAACACAGCCCCGCTATCACAATATAAACACGACCATAAATTTGTACAGAGGGAAAGTTATTTGTTGTAGATAAAGGAACATATACGAAGAGCGGCGCTGGCGTTAGGATATTGCAGACTCTAGAGTAACGGCCTGGCCGCATTCGTCGTACGATCGTCGGACGATTATTGCAAAGTGAGAGGATTATTCGGATAGTCGTGCTTGTGTCGTACAAACTTCAACCGGTTTGTAACCGAAAAGGCTGTCTTCGAGTCGGGCGATGGTTTTGTCCCAGCCCACTTGAAAACCATACGACATCAGAATGTACTCGTATACGGTGGCCTACGACAAATGTGACAGCGCGGTCAGTCATACACGTACATGTAATTCTGACGACGTTTCAAATATTAAAGACCAAATTGTTCGGAAGGCAATTAAAAAGACAACATAGAGCACATACCCTTTCAATTGTGACGAAACGCGGATTGTAAAAACACCTCTGCGGCCAAATAAACGGGTACACTTCACGGTATACTTCCACACTATTGTACAGTGTACGGGGAGAACTCCAACCAAAGCGGAGAATCGAAGCTACGCGAACCGAAGCCAAATTAAATTAGCACAGAAATTAGATGATTGCTTCGCTGGAGAATTCCCCGGTTGTGAATTTGTAAATAGCGACAAATTATTTAACCCAACATGATATGTGTAAAATGTACACTTTTATGAGTATCATGTCATTTTGCATGACGGCTTTCTGTGATATGAAACTTTCTGACCAAGGAGGCTCTATCACATTGATAGAACCTCCTTGTTCTGGTAAGAAATAAAATAATTTCGAGGACTTCATTTTAGACTCAATTATCTTCCTGTTTCCATCTCTTAACTGTTACTTCAGCGAAGGTAATAAGTATGGTATATTTTTATGTCAATATTTTGAGTTTATCTTTTACGTAACTGGTAAAATATTAACTCAAATCACGAAGTGGTCCAAACTGGCCCAAACTGGTACACGATCTCGACTGTCATTTTTCTGATAATTGTAGTTTTACAAAATTCGTATTCATACATTTGAACTCTCCCCCCTCCTGATGGCGCTAAACTGTCATCAAAATCAGGAAGCAATTAGGAGAGAACCGCGGTAATAATCAGTTTACTCCCTGAAAAGATACAGACGAGACAGTCATGACAATTGCTGAATGTGAAGACTTGGGATTTACAATGGCGGGTCTGCGTTTCTTCACAGTCTCTTAATATGACAAATTGATGACAACTTTTATTGTTAGATAATAGACGGACATGATATCCAGTCGTCTTCGGGCGTTGTGCTTTGTATGTATGCGGTTTTCACTTCTGATTTTTCCCGCCTTCGTTTCCGACAAACTGCTCTGCCGGATACCTTACATTATTATCTTATCATCTCACATGAGCGTCTCACAGAAGGGAAAATCATTGTTACCTCCCAGCAGACTGAGCAGTGAATGTTACCGGTAGTGGGAGGTTAATTTTGTCCTTTATTTTCTTTATTGGTGACTTTTAAGTACGGAGTGTCTTTTACGTCTTTTACAAGGCAATAAGCAGAGATTCATTTTATAATTTACCTCTGCAATACAGGAATTAGGTTGTAGGCTATTTGTGATACAAAATTTGAATACGTCTAAGACAAAGAAAAGGTATTTTTTCTACGTTCAACCAAAAACATCCGACCAAGCGCAAGGTTCAAGGACTACCATAGTTAACACAAACTTATAACAAAAAATATAAAGCGATCGACAATAATCGTATTCTATATAGTACGTAGTACAGGGATGTGCACCTTAAGGCTTTCGCGGAAAACTCTTTACATTCAATAATTTCGAACTAGCAGAGTACTCACTGGAAAAACGACTCTGCGCTTTCTTTTCTAATTTGTGTTTAAGAATAGATATTCTACCACATTTTTAAATCGTTAACAAAAGTTAACAATATTTCCTTTGGTGTTTCCCATTTTTTGCCGGATGGGTCGACAGTGAACTATCTGACTGCTTTCGATTGTCTTTATTTTCAATCGATAAGTGAAAATCGTCATATTTCTATGAGAAAATTAAAAACAAAAAACACGAGAGGGTACCCAGCGATGCCCGTCGAACGTTCCCGTTGCCGGTGCAGCCCGGAGGATGAATATGAGCGGGGTCCAGCGGACCGAGCAGTCATCCATCTTCGGGGGAATACTCATTACACGCCGCTTGAGCAGGATTCGGACCCGCTCGACCGAGAAGACTTATAATTGTGGCTCAAACCGTTAAAGGGAGGGCTGTCCCCGGCAGATTCCTACACACAACATCACCGCGTTCCTGTACAGCAACTCAACCACATCTACTACTCACCCCGACTGTTAGACATCTACAGGAGCTTGTTTAATGAATAATTAAACATCCAAGCAACTTGACATTGCTGAGTCAACACAATTAACCATTTAATTATGTCTCCCTCTTACGCGGCTAATACATGCTATAAACAATAAAAATGAACCACGTCAACAACTTGAAAAAGTTGTATACCTACGATACTCATATTCAGGGTTCAAATTTTCAGTTTTCTGCAAGAGGTTAGACATATGATTTGTACATTATTGTGCTTTCCAAAGATCCTTTTCTTTGTTACTTCCCATGCAAAGTAATGAACACGCGATTAACAAGTAAACTAGCTGTTTGTTTGCTTGTTTGTTTGTTTGTTTGATGTATTCGTCCTTGTGTGTACATACAGGTGTCTATGTTGTGGCCACCTCCTTGAATCGCCTGCTGTGATTTTAGTAACATTCCAGCATCGGTGTAGAGTGACTGATCAGTCTGATGTACACCGCATTGTCTGGTCTAACTTCACTTTTTAACTTTTCCTGGCTATTCAGTCTCGACCCTCCTCTATTGGGACCAACCCGGGCTGCCTGTAACCCCCAGACGAGCCCGCCCTCCACCCACCGCCGTGCCGACCTTCCCCCAGGAGACGAGAAAGAGACCTGACCCCCTTTCCAGAAATCGATGTACGGCGGGAGACGAGGGGAAATTTAGCCGGTTCTACCGGAGACATTAATACCCCGGTACCGGCTGAGACCCTTCCGATTGTTCCAATTACCCAAATAAAGTGACTTCTTGATTCCAATCTCCCTTCCTTAATAGGATCGAAATTACTTCTCAATTGATAAATGCCAAACATCCATTGAGCTTTAAACTACATTAATTGGCTGCATTAAGCGCGGCCGGAAGGGTAGCCCTTCCCCGGCGGATTGCCCATTCTTCTTCCCGCTTCATTTTATCCCCGGCCCGCTCCGACCGTTTCCCAGATGGCTGAGATACAGAGACGGGAAGGCCCGGAGCCGCTCGTGCGTGGAAAATTGCGGGAACAAGTGATTTTAATAGAGCAACGAATTTAAAGGGCTCTGGCGAATCGATCGTGCGTTCGGGTGACGTTTATAGATAGCCGGCCATCCTGGTGGGATGTGCGCCAAAAGCCCCGGCCCACCCAAAGCGCATCAGTGCCTAATTCCCGAAATTTTGTTATAATGGTTATGAACATCATTAGAGTCATTTGGGACCGGCGAACAACGTGGTGTCTTTGAATAGAGGTCTCCTGAGATCACCGCCTCCAAAGTGGTATTTTGCGAGGAACGCATTTGCAAGGTAATGCGTCAATTAATCTTGTTCGGCGGCCGCCGCTATGATGAGTCCCGCTCCCCGCCGCGCATACTGATGAGGCGGGGAGAGTGGCGCAGGACTTACTTTGAAAAGAGCGGAGGTGAAGACGGCATTACCGTCTCCGCTAAAGGACATTACCGGTGTCAGAAGACGTTAGACACATCTACAGACTACAGGTGTGTCCGACACTCATCAGCCCCAGTATATACACTACATGTCACAACTTCCCACAAACTCATGTGAAGTGCGTTACACCTGCTTTCCACAAAAGGCTGAACGACCAAAGATTTGATATCGCTCAACGAATTTCATAGATAAAGAACGAATTCTTCTTTTTTACGCTTTGTGTGTTTTGTTGTCTTTTAAATCATACATTTACACCTATGTACATGCTTGTAACGTTAACTTGCACTTTGAATCAAAGATTCGGTTTGAATAAAACTGTTATATCTTATGATGCTTAGAAATTTTGGGTCTTGTCTTTAATATCCGTATCTTTACCTACGTTTAATCTAATATATAGTTTTTTGCCAAGGCTTATCTACAATTAAAAAGTTATATTTGCCCTACTATCATAAACAAGCTAGGAATCAACCGGCTATACACTCACCAGTCAATCAGAGAGCAATGCTGTTAAAATCATTACCTCCTTAGCGGAGGTAAATACTTTTATGATACGGTTAATTGCAAGCCCACAGAAATTTGAAAATCAATAACTGAAAACTTTCAAAAGTATTGATACATATAGAATATGACGACGTCGACAGTATTTGCTAGAAATACGCCTGGTATTGTTTAATGGCACTTCCGTGTGCGGAGGTCTTACTTTCTGTGTTTGTTTGTCTGTTTGCTTGTGTGTCCATGGCCACAGTTCTTTGAGTAGAGTTGAGTCACAAGAAAAAGGGGGGGGGATTATGTAACCGCAGACGTCGACTTGGAGGTGAAAATGGTCTCCCCGCAGGCTGGGATGAAGTGAATGGTACGGTGGAAAACTCAGGAACTAGAGGATTGCATATGCGCCGCAGTCAAATATGCACAAAATCGGTGAAAAAGGCACAATAATGAATAAAACAACGAATTCAAAGCAACTCTAAAACGTCACTGAGGTGCGAACTCTTCGATTTGTCTTGTTTTTATTTGATTTTGCAATTGTTTGAATGTGTTCACCTCTACTGAAATAAACAGTGCACCATGTACCTATGCGTGCATGTTCCTGTCCTTGGTGCTGATCGAATAGTCCATCACAGTGTAGGAAGG